TTGGCAGCAGTATATAATCTTCAGAAAGCATTAAATAGTCTTTGCCAACAATATCTAACTTTCTCCAAGCAATTAGTGATCTTTCCAAAAATATTTTACATTCTGAAAGTAGTTAATAGTCTTTTGGAAACAGTATCTTGTCTTTCCAAGTAGATAATAGTTTCTTGCAGTAATATTTAGTCTTGTCCACGCAGGTCCTAATTGTTTCTAGTAGTATATAGCGCTCTGAAAGCAGTAAGTAGTCTTATGGAAGCAGTATCTCATCTTTCCAATCAGTTTGTAGCTGTTTGTTAGCACTATCTACTCTTCTCCAATCAGATTGTAATCTTTTCCACCAGTATCTAGCATTTTGGAAACAGTAGGTATCTTTTTTGGAGAGGATATCTCTTCTTTCCAAGCAGTTATTAGTCTTTTCCAGTAGTATCTAACATCCTGGAAGCATTAGGTAGCTTTTTGGAAAGCATATCTCTTTTCCAAACAATTATTAAAGTCTTTGAAAGCAATAAGTAGTCTTGGAAGCAGTATTTTACCTGTTCAAGTAGGTCAAAACCTATTTTGAAAACAGTATCTAGTCTTTTCCAAATAAGTTGNTTCTGGAAGCATTAGGTAGCTTTTTGGAAAGCATATCTCTTTTCCAAACAATTATTAAAGTCTTTGAAAGCAATAAGTAGTCTTGGAAGCAGTATTTCACCTGTTCAAGTAGGTTAAAACCTATTTTGAAAACAGTATCTAGTCTTTTCCAAGTAAGTTGTTGTCTTATTTTGCAGTATCTAGCATTTTAGAAGCAGTAGGTAACTTTTTGAAATAGTATTTTCTCTTTCCAAGCAGTTTTTACTCTTTTACTAGCAGTATTTAATCTTCTGAAAGCATTAAATAGTCTTTGCCAACAATATCTATCTTTCTCCAAGCAATTAGTAATCTTTCCAACAATATTTTGCATTCTGAAAATGGTTAATACTCTTTTGAAAACAGTATCTTGTCTTTCCAAACAGATAATAGTTTTTCCCAGCAATATTTACTCTTCTCCAAGCAGATCCTAATCTTTTCTAGTAGTATATAGCACTCTGAAAGCAGTAAGTAGTCTTATGGAAGCGGTATCTCGTCTTTCCAATCAGTTTGTAGTTGTTTGTTAGCACTACCTAGTCTTCTCCAAGCAGATTGTAATCTTTTCCACCAGTGTTTAGTATTTTGTAAGCAGTAGGTACCTTTTTGGAAATCATATCTCTTTTCCAAACAATTATTAAAGTCTTTGAAAGCAATAAGTAGTCTTGGAAGTAGTATTCCGCCTGTCCAAGTAGGTCAAAATCTTTAACAGCAGTGTTTAGCGTTCTAGAAGCAACAGGTATTATTTTGAAAACAGTATCTAGTCTTTTCCAAGTAAGTTGTGATCTTTTTCTGCAGTATCTAGCATTTTAGAAGCAGTGGGTAACTTTTTGAAATAGTATTTCCTCTTTCCAAGCAGTTTTTAGTCTTTTCTAGCAGTATTTAATCTTCTGATAGCAATAATTAGTCTTTTGCCAACAATATCTAGTTTTCCCCAAGCAATTGGTAGTTTTTCCAACAATATTTAGCATTCTGAAAGTAGTTAATAGTCTTTTGGAAACAGTATTTTATCTTTTCAAGCAGATAATAGTTTCTCCCCGCAATATTTAGTCTTCTCCAAGCAGGTCCTAATCTTTTCTAATAGTATACAGGTGTCCCGAAACTCAAAGTCAAGCGGGCACTGGGTAAGAGACCAACCCATACCTGTTCTGGTAAAAATAAGAAAAAAAGAATCCATGTTACTTAGCTAAGTGGTATTTGACATATTTTTGAAAATCTTGTTGAAACCACATTTTTCTGTAGATATTGAGTGGAACATCTTCTAACAAAGTTGTTAAATTATTTTGGAGGAAATAACATGTTTTTTGCAGAAAACAGGCAATAATATTTTTTTATGTAAACAGGCCATCTTTTAAAATTACTTGCCAAGGGTGCTGTACTACTCTTTTTTTTAGAAATTCTGTATCAAACTTAATAGACATAAATCTTTCAACCTAAAACTAACCACTTTTGTTGTTTGATTTGTGACGTCTACAGTAGCATGGTTAATCATTATTGAAAAAATCACTATTTAATCGCGAACATTTCTGACCTTAGTACCTAAAGATATGACTCTATGGGAACGATTTTTAGCATTTTCAAAGATATGTCTATTACCACTTAGCTAAGAAACATGGAATTATTTTTTTTATTTTTCCCAGTATCCGCTTGACGTTGAGTTTCGGGACAACTGTATAGTCTTCTGAAAGCATTAAATACTTTTTGCCAACAATATCTAGCTTTCTCCAAGAAATTAGTAATTTTTCCAACAATATTAAGCATTCTGAAAGTAGTTAGTAGTCTTTTGGAAATAGTATCTTGTCTTTCCAAGCAGATAATAGTTTCTTCCAGCAATATTTAGACTTCTCCAAGCAGGTCCTAATCTTTTCTAGTAGAATATAGCGCTCTGAAAGCAGAAAGCAGTTTGTACTTGTTTGTTAGCACTATCTAATCTTCTCTAAGCGGATTGTGTAATTCTTAATCTTTTCCAACAGTATCTCGCATTTTGGAAGTAATAGTACCTTTTTGGAGAGCATATCTCTTCTTTCCAAATAGTTATTAGTCTATTCCAGCAGTATCTAACATTCTGGAAGCATTAGATAACTTTTTAGAAAGCATATCTCTTTTCCAAACAATTATTAAAGTCTTTGAAAGCAATAAGTAGTCTTGGACACAGTATCTAGTCTTTTCCAAGTAATGTTGTAACACTATGTGTTTTTTTAGAAGATGGATGTTTTTTATTTTAGCCTCTACCGGTTTCAATTGCTACTTGCAATCATCTTCAGGAGCTAGCCACGACAATAAATAATATTCTCAAAGACATAATCTTTTTTGTATGTAATGGTATTGTCATTTTTTTTTGTTTTGTTTCTTCTGGATGTCTTATTTTATGGTCGATTCTTTAATGTTGTTAATTTAGTTCGGCCATTATTGTTTTAGCCATGTGTTCTTTTTGAGGTTATGATGAATAAGACATCCAGAAATTATAATAATTTTTTTCCAAGTAAGTTGTTGTCTTTTTCCGCAGTATGTAGCATTTTAGAAACAGTAGGCAACTTTTTGAAATAGTATTTCCTCTTTCCAAGCAATTTTTAGTCTTTTTCTAGCAGGATTTAATCTTCTGAAAGCATTAAATAGTCTTTCCAACAACATTTAGCATTCTGAAAATAGTTAATAGTCTTTTGGAAACAGTATCTTGTCTTTCCAAGCAAATAATAGTTTCTCCCAGCAATATTTAGTCTTCTCCAAGCAGATCCTAATCTTTTCTAGTAGTATATAGCACTCTGAAAGCAGCAAGTAGTCTTATGGAAGCAGTATCTCGTCTTTCCCATCAGTTTGCAATTGTTTGTTAGCACTATTTAGTCTTTTCAAAGCAGATTGTAATCTTTTCCACCAGTACATAGCATTTTGGAAGCAGTAGGTACCTTTCTTGGAGAGCATATCTCTTCTTTCCAAGCAGTTATTAGTCTTTTCCAGCAGTATCTAACATTCTGGAAGCATTAGGTAGCTTTTTGGAAAGCATATCTCTTTTCCAAACAATTATTAAAGTATTTAAAAGCAATAAGTAGTCTTGGAAGCAGTATTCCGCTTGTCCAAGTAGGTCAAAACCTTTAACAACAGTGTTTAGCGTTCTGGAAGCAATAGGTATTATTTTGAAAACAGTATCTAATCTTTTCCAAGTAAGTTGTGGTCTCTTTCTGCAATATCAAGCATTTTCAAAGCAGTAGGTGACTTTTTGAAATAGTATTTCCTTTTTCTAAACAGTTTTTAGTCTTTTTCTAGCAATATTTAATCTTCTAATAGCAATAATTAGTCTTTTGCCAACAGTATTTAGCTTTCTACAAGCAATTAGTAGTCTTTCCAACAATATTTAGCATTCTGAAAGTAGTTGATAGTCTTTTGGAAACAATATTTTGTCTTTCCAAGCAGATAATAGTTTCTCGCAGCAGTTCCTAACCTTTTCTAGTAGTATATAGCACTCTGAAAGCAGTAAGTAGTCTTATAGAAGGAGTATTTCGTCTTTCCAATCAGTTTGTAGTTGTTTGTTAGCACATCTAGTCTTCTCCAACCAGATTGTAATCTTTTCTACCAGTAAATAACATTCTGGAAGCAGTAGATGACTTTTTGAAATAGTATTTCCTTTTTCTAAATAGTTTTTAGTCTTTTTCTAGCAATATTTAATCTTCTAATAGCAATAATTAGTCTTTTGCCAACAGTATCTACCTTTCTACAAGCAATTAGTAGTCTTTCCAACAATATTTAGCATTCTGAAAGTAGTTGATAGTCTTTTGGAAACAATATTTTGTCTTTCTAAGCAGATAATAGTTTCTCCCAGCAGTTCCTAATCTTTTCTAGTAGTATATAGCACTCTGAAAGCAGCAAGTAGTCTTATAGAAGCAGTATTTCGTCTTTCCAATCAGTTTGTAGTTGTTTGTTAGCACATCTAGTCTCCTCCAACCAGATTGTAATCTTTTCTACCAGTAAATAACAACAGGTATTATTTTGAAAACAGTATCTAGTCTTTTCCAAGTAAGTTTTCTGCCATATCTAGCATTTCAGAAGCAGTAGGTAACTTTTTGAAATAATATTTCCTCTTCCCAAGCAGTTTTTAGTCTTTTACTAGCAATATTTAATCTTCTAATAGCAATAAAGCGTCTAAAACCTAAGAAACATCCGTATTTCACCCGAAAACATGCGTTTTAACCAAATGTGCTGCAAAAATATGATGACGTCACAAAAAAGCGAATCTTTAAAGTGATTTTTCGCAAAGTTTTACATTTTTTTGTCGATTTTTAAGCGACACAATGATTCTTGAATTATACCATATAACCCAAAGACTTTAAATTTCAACTTTATTAAAAAAAAATTTTTTTTTGAGGTTAACTACAATTTACTAATTAAAAAAATTACTTTTTAGCACAAAATTTTGAGCTTTGTTACTATTTTTATCTTACTTAATAAATCGATTAAGTACACAACACACTAAATTAAAACTGAAGTCGGCGTAATCGTAAAAATTGCAAAAACTTTTTCAATCGCTTACGTTTGATGGGTGTCGTTTGAGTCTCGTGCTCGACCGTAAGTCGATTCGAATCGACGTGGCCGTTCATCATTCGTTCGTTATCCGGAATCGTTTCGCGTACTTGTAGTTCTTGTTTCAACTCTGAAATTAAATTGATTTAATACAATTTTTTTGTAAATTTTAATAAATTACCTCTTGTTTCGTCGGTGAGGCGTTGAATTTTTTCTTTCAGCGTTTCTTTCTCATCAATTTCTGACTCTAACATAGCATTCCTTTCTATTGCACTGTTTAAAACTGATTCCACTGCATTAATACTTTCTGTTATCATCCGGTGGCTTTGTTCTAAATCATCATTTTTCTGCTCTAAATCGCGAATTTTTCGTTGGAAATCCACCTGTTCTTTCTTTAAGTTGAGTAAATCATCTTCTAAATTATCCCTTTCTTTATTAATTGTATCTAATTTTAGCTAAAATTGATAATTTAATGATATTTAATTTTTAGGTTATGTTTTTATAACCTCAAATTTTTTTTTTTATGTTTTACCTTAAGTGAATCTATTTCATTTTGATTTAGATTATTCGTACTCATTAATTGGCGTATTTTCTTCTCATTCTGCTCGATGGTTACCTCATATTCTTTTTCTAATTGTTGGGATTCAGCAACATAATCATCAAATTCATTTTGTACGGTGTCTCTTCTATAAAATACAAAATCGATAAGATTTTTGATTAATTTTTTGATTATTTAACTTACTCCTGCATAAATTTCGAACATAAATTCTTCCAATAAGCTAATTCTTCCTCGATTGTGTTGAAATTGGGTCGATCGCCGCGGTCCATGTTGAACAATGAAAAGGTCAAGGTTCAAAAGGTGGAAATGTTGATGTTGTGGTCTTTCTTCTATGTTTTTAATACCACATAAATGATGAATTCTGAAAGTTTTTAGATAATATGTAAATTTTCGTTTCAGGATGCAGTTTTTTTTTGTTTTATGTCACATGTGAGTCACCCACTTTACAGGGTTTGCGATTATTTAGAAAAATTTTGTGCGAAATAAGTAACAGTTAATTTTTTTCATAACGGGGGCGAATGTTAACCGTTATTTGTTAAATATCACCATAATTTTATAAACAATTCGTCGATCTACTTACGAGCTAAATAAATTATTCGCAATCGTTTACAGTTGACAGTTTCATTACCAACACAAAATGGCGGTGGATTTTTTTTAAATACATTTTTATTCTTTATTTAATTTTAGATATAATTTAATTAAATCTTATTTATTTCATTAATTTATAATCAAATCGAAATGATATTATTAATTTACTAAATAATTAATTAAAATTATAATTTAAAATTTTTATTACCAACCTTAAAAACAAAAAAGTTACTAAAGTTACGTCAATGTTTAAAAATATAAATATTTTATATAATTAATTAAATTAAGTCTATATTTAACTCATTATATCACAATGAGACTACAACATTTAAAAATATCCACAGATAAATGATAGATCAATCCTTAATAGGGTTATAAGTTAAGTTCACTCAAACTACGAATTATGAAGAAAAATATACTTTAAATATGGTTTTAAGGAATCTAATTCAGAAAATAAGATATATTTTCTTATACAGCTTTATATTTAAGGTGTCTCAGATGATATTACGGTATTAGAGAACACAGCTTCTCGCAATAGAATTGCTTAAGAAGAAAGTAAGAAAATGTAGTAAACTTGAAAAGATGTGTATAAAAGGTTCTGAATAAGTACGAGATGGCAATTAACTGTTTTGCTGAAATTGTGCTGATGTCTTTATACAAGATATACTGAATCAATGACAATAGCCAGCTATGCAGTACACTGTACAGGAAGTAGAAGACATGCAATTGTAGAGGTAGAATACAGAAAAAAACAGCCAGATTTACCACATTGTCATAGATGCCAAAGATACACATCAAAAATTATTGTACACTATCTCCAAGATGTGTAAAATGTCAAGAAAATCATCTGACTAAAGGTTGCACTAAATCAAGAAAAGCACCACCACAATGTGTAAACTGCCAAGGGAATCACCCAGCTAATTAGGTTGGACATACTATAAAAACTTAAATGTCAAAATATTTAAGTCTAACCAACCAACTATACGTAATATAACACTTCTTAATTGGAATGCAACCGGCATCAACAAACGGCGAGCAACCTTATAGCCTTCTTAGCAAGGTATAACATAGATTCTCTCAGCTCGCTACATCCTCTCAATATATGTTCTAGCGTTTCCTAATCCTTCCTGCACAACCGACAACTCCTCTCCATATCGTCCGCCCAGTACCTTTTCGCTCTCTCCTCATTGCCACAACGGAGTCTGGCCACCAGCCTCTTCCTTTCCTCACTCCCTTTTTTCATCAAGTATTTATGTCCCCATATCTTTTACTGTATTTACCCTCTCTCTTAATATTCCCTCCTCTCTCTTTTACCATATCTAATTTTTCCCTCCCCGTCTTCTATCTATCATTTCTTCATATTTAACTGCTCCTCTGCCCGTCTCCACCCTCACTTCATTCACCTTCACTTCCTGCCTCACAATATACCCCGGTGTTTCCGTCGCCATACCCAGAACCTACCTCCAGTGCCGGTTGTATACGTCCTCCAGAATATCCAGCCTCTTCCATCCCCCAAACTTCCGCTCCGTACATCCTTGCACTCATCAACCCTTCAAACATAATGAGAGTGAAACATAACCTTTCAAACACTCTCTCACCCCATCCCTTGTCACATGCGCCGTGTCCTTGGATATCCTCTTTCTATTCCTTCCTCTTTCTTCTCCTTGTCTTTTTGTCTTTACTACACTCACCTCCATGTTATCCGCGTACACTAGCTCGTGAACCTGTCTCTTTCGTGCCACTACTCCTCCCACTTGCCCCTTCTCCAGCTTACCTTCCAATTCCGCCATATACAGAGCAAAAAGGCTGGGGCTCAGTGGATACACCTTTTCACACACCTCATCAAATTCGCCTTCAAATTCATGAATAGGGCATACAACTTCCCTCTCTTCTTGTTCAACTCTCTATCCATCAGATGTTTTAAGATGTAAACGTTATCGATCGCCCCTCTACTCTTCCTAAAACCCGCTTGTCCGTCCGGCAACATCCCTCCTATCTCAATCTCTTCCTCCAATCTTCCCAACAATATCTTTGCATAAATCTGGTATGAGGACTCTTCCCCCCTCCGCACATTGTTCAACGTCTCTAACAGCTTCCTTCTCACCTTTCCTATCACCTCCAACCATACCTCGTTCTGTACCCCATCCTTCCCCCTCATGAATCCCCTTAAAACTGTTATCAACTCTTCCTTTGGAATCTCCACTTTAATTTTTGCTGCCTCAACCTCAACTCCTTTTTCTTTGTCCCATATAGTTGTTTGTACCTTCTTCTTGCCTTCTTATAGCTGTCCACCAGAACCTCTCCTCTCCGCCACTGCCTCAATCTTCTTCTTGCCTCCCTGCATTCTCCATCCCACCATTCGTTTCTTCCCAGAATGCGTCCCAACCGCGAACACTCACCACCTCCATCAAATCTTCCAGTTCCATGATTCCTTCCACTCTTAACATATTTTACTTCCTCCTTTCGCCGTCTTCTCCCTCTTACCCCCTTTAGCTGTACCTCCAACGGTTGGTGGTCCGAATCTACCATATCTCTCACATTCCTTGGCTCACTACCACATAATCTATCATGGACGCCTCCCTTGCACCCTTCATCTCCTTCCTCCCTATTCCCATTCAGTATCTCCCATCCCCTCTCCTCCGCCCACTTTAGCATCTCCCTTCCTTCCCCATTCAGTGTCTTATCCTTGGACCGGACTTTTTCTTCCCTCTTCCCCCTTCTTCTCCTATTCTTGCATTAAAGTCCCCTCCAATAATCAGACATTCTCTCCTCTGTGATCTCTTCCCATTGCCTTATTGTCCCTTTCATTGCCCTGCTATACACTGTGACTATTTGCACCTTCTCTCCCTCCAGCTTGATTTGCCTTTTTACCTTCCCCTCTCCGTCTTATTCTCCTCCATAATTCCCCTCGCTATTCCTGTTATAATACTCCCACACTCTCTTTCTCTCTTACTTCTCCTCTCTGCAAACTCGCAATCCCATCTATACCCTTCTGGCATCTTTCCCTCAATCTCTGCCCACCCTCCCTCATTAACCCAGATCTCCACCAAACAAATCACTTCAAATCTCTTCAAATATTCCCAGAACTGTTCAACCTTACTTGTAATCCCTGCTATATTCCAGAATACCCTATAGAATAATATTGTAGAGATGTTTGTAGTGGATTAGAACCATTTTGATTCAATCCAATCAGTTTTTCCAAAGTTCTAAAATGCTTGAGTCTTTTGGAAAACATTCACATTAAGTTCTTCTCAATTCTTTCATCATTGTCAAGTGATATAAAAATGTTTTTAATGAATTTAAGGCATTTTTGTCACACACCAATTAACTTTATCTATTTCCTCCTATCTTTGAAACAGTTCAATAATACAAAAATCATTTTTGTCTTATTCTTTTTGACTTGTTAAGTATTCTAGAGATGTTTATAGTGGTGTTTGATTATTCTAGAGATGTTTGTAGTGATTTAGAACCATTTTGCTTCACACCAATCAGTTTTTACAAAATTCTAAAATGCTTGAATCTTCTGGAAATCATTCCCATTCACTTTTTTCAATTCTTTCGTCATTGTCAAGTGATATAAAAATGTTTTTAATGAATTTAAGGCATTTTATCACACACCAATAAACTTTTTTTATTTCCTCCTATCTTTGAAACAGTTTCAAAAATACCAAAATCATTTTTTTCTTATTTTTTCCGACTTATTAAGTATTTTAGAGGTGTTTGTAGTGGTGTTTGATTATTCTAGAGACGTTTGTAGTGGATTAGAACCATTTTGATTCACGCCAATCAGTTTTTCCAAAATTCTAAAATGCTTGAGTCTTTTGGAAAACATTCCCATTACCTTTTTTTCAATTCTTTCGTCATTATAAAGTGATATAAAAATGTTTTTAATGAATTTAAGGCATTTTATCACACACCAATAAACTTTTTCTATTTCCTTCTATCTTTGAAACAGTTTCAAAAATACCAAAATCATTTTTTTCTTATTCTTTCCGACTTATTAAGTATTTTAGAGATGTTTGTAGTGGTGTTAGATTATTCTAGAGATGTTTGTAGTGGATTAGAACCAATTTGATTCAATCCAATCAGTTTTTCCAAAATACTAAAATGCTTGAATCTTTTGGAAAACATTTCCATTAACTTTTTTTCAATTCTTTCGTCATTGTTAAGTGATATAAAAATGTTTTTAATGACTTTAAGGCATTTTATCACTCACCAGTTAACTTTTTCTATTTAGTCCTATCTTTGAAACACTTCAAAAATACCAAAATCATTTTTTTCTTATTCTTTCCGACTTATTAAGTATTTTAGAGATGTTTGTAGTGGTGTTAGATTATTCTAGAGATGTTTGTAGTGGATTAGAACCAATTTGATTCAATCCAATCAGTTTTTCCAAAATTCTAAAATGCTTGAATCTTTTGGAAAACATTTCCATTAACTTTTTTTCAATTCTTTCGTCATTGTCAAGTGATATAAAAATGTTTTTAATAAATTTAAGGCATTTTGTCACACACCAATTAACTTTTTCTATTTCCTCCTATCTTTGAAACACTTTCAAAACTATCAAAATCATTTTTTCTTATTCTTTCCGACTTGATAAGTATTCTAGATATGTTTGTAGTGGTGTTTGATTATTCTAGAGATGTTTGTAGTAAATTAGAACCAATTTGATTCACGCCAATCAGATTTTCCAAAATTTTAAAATGCTTGAATCTTCTGGAAAACATTTCCATTAACTTTTTTTCAATTCTTTCGTCATTGTGAAGTGATATAAAAATGTTTTTAATGAATTTAAGGCATTTTGTCACACACCAATAAACTTTTTCTATTTCCTCCTATATTTGAAACAGTTTCAAAAATACCAAAATCATTTTTTTCTTATTTTTTCCGACTTATTAAGTATTTTAGAGGTGTTTGATTATTCTAGAGACGTTTGTAGTGGATTAGAACCAATTTGATTCAATCCAAGCAGTTTTTCCAAAATTCTAAAGTGCTTGAATCTTTTGGAAAACATTCCCATTAATTTTTTTTCAATTCTTTCGTCATTATTAAGTGATATAAAAGTGATTTAATGAATTTAAGGCATTTTGCCACACACCAATTAACTTTATCTATTTCCTCCTATCTTTGAAACACTTCCTAAAATACCAAAATCATTTTTTTCTTACTTTTTCCATCTTGTTAAGTATTCTAGAGATGTTTGTAGTGGTGTTTGATTATTGTAGAGATGTTTGTAGTACATTAGAACCATTTTGATTCAATCCAATCACATTTTCCAAAATTCTAAAGTGCTTGAATCTTCTGGAAATCATTCCCATTAATTTTTTTTCAATTCTTTCGTCATTATTAAGTGATATAAAAGTGATTTAATGAATTTAAGGCATTTTGCCACACACCAATTAACTTTATCTATTTCCTCCTATCTTTGAAACACTTCCTAAAATACCAAAATCATTTTTTTCTTACTTTTTCCATCTTGTTATGTATTCTAAACATGTTTTTAGTAGAATTAGACCAATTCAAGTAAAAATAAAGAGTGAAAACAACAAACTTTTTATTATATTAAAAAATTAAAACATTTTCCTACACAGATCTCATTAAATTCATTATGTTTTGAGCCTGTTTCACAGTTGGCATATCAATCATCGTCCCTTCCAAATTAAAAGCCCCTTTACCAATCTTTTGTTGTTCCTCAAACGCATTTAAAATCGCCGAGGCCCATTCAATTTGTTTTTGACTTGGCAAAAAAGCTTCCTGTACAATTGGAACTTGATTGGGATGAATAACTTGCTTTCCTGTGTACCCCATTCGAGCGCCTTCATCACTTTGTCGTTTTAAACCCTCCAAATCTTTGTATTGGATATAAACCATATCAATTGCTTGTAAACCATAAGCTTTTGCAACAACAACCAATTTTTGCCTTGCATACAATATCTCAGAGGCGTTTTCGCTTCTTGAGATACCAATACTAGCGCAGAAATCATCACTACCAAAAATTAATGAGGTTAATTTGAATTTGCTGGTTTTTGATAGCTCAAAAGCTGATTTACATAAGTCGACCAGATTAATCATTGCTAAAGCATCTTCTATGTACATCACAAGGTTTATTTGTTCTTCATCTTTTATGGAGTTATTTACTTGATCTGAAAACTACTTTGTAATGAATTTTCTTGCCTATTTAAAGGTTTAAATGACTTACATATTTTAAATGATCAACTGTTGTTATTTTTGGTAATAAAATTGTGTCAGGTAAAAATTCTGCTGTTAAAACTTGTCTCAAATCTTCTTCTAAAAGACCACTATGGACTGAATTAACTCGAATAGCCCAATCATAGTCCCTAGGTTTTAGTGGTTTTCCATTATCCAATAATTTTCTAATTGTATTCCTAGCAGTTTCCTATTTGTAATGAAAATGAGGTAATAATGGAATTAAATTAAAAAATTAAATACTTTTCTGCTCATTGCAACTCCATCTTCGCAATCCATTACAATACAATCCACATCAACTTTAAAAGCTTTACTTAATTTCCTGGTATCATCACCTGGGACGTACATAAGTGCTCTTCTAGGTTTGTAACATCTTACGCTGGTCTAAAGAGCATTATTTATAAATAGATGTTGTTATTATTAATAATCAAATCTATTTTTAATTTTTTTTTACTTGTACCTTATTATGTAATAGAAAGCGATTGAAAAGAGGCACAGAGAACCTCGTTAAACTTCTTAGGGTCATTTTACTAGCGAATCTTTTCACTAACTGAGTCTTTTTTAATTAATTATTTAAAATATTCATGTTCTTCCACATCAAAACATTAATAGAGATAATTTTAGTTATTTTTTATTTTTAATGTTGGCAAAATCTGTCAAAATCAAATCGTAATTAAATCATAATCATTTTATAACTAAAATTAATTTATTTGTTGCAACCTAATTTTTAAAACGTTTTAAATAAATTAATTCTAATTTTTTTAAATAAATAATTAAAATGATTTAAATTTCCCGCAAAAAATTTTCTGACAATCAATACAAACAATGCGCATGTGGTGCCCTCTAGTCGAGACACCTCCGCTGTCTATTTGTAATTTTTTGTTACCAGTCGTTTACTTGCGTTCATCGCGGTCGATGTTTATTAATTTCTTTGTAAGTAGTGACTAACAAATTCGTGTGCTAAATACAAACCGGATTTAACTTTAAAGTGAATAAAGTTGTGTAAAAAACTCGACATTAACAATTTCATCCGGTTGCTATTAGCAACGAAAACGTTTGTATCCATTTTGGTCCAGAAGTAAGAAGAGATCAAAGTAGGCGTAAGTTTTTTTCGTGTTATCCATTGTTTAATTAACCTTAATTTATTGTTTTTAATAATTAAGCTGATTAATCGTTAAGCAATCGGTGATTACAAAGATAATAATTCAAAATAATCTGGGATTATTGATTTTTTTTTGTGTTAATATGAACGTGTTGGAGCAAGTCGAACCCCAAAGTTTACAAAAGGTCAATTCCATCTACTAACGACTCTTCTCGGTTATAATGTCTGTTTATTTGTGACCTTAATGAACTGACTAATTCTAAATATTAAGAGTTGGTTCTATGAAACGATTAGGACCTTTCTCTTGCCAAGACTCGTTTTCGTTGATTTTTATTGTTTGTTTTTGTTTCTTTTTTAGTCCTTTAACCCACTTACATACTTTCTATGTCGGGATCAGCGAATTGCATAATTTAAACCGAGAAACTTGCCACATAAAATGTTTTCATTTAAAATTTAGGTTAAAATTAAGTTTTTAACTTCATCTGTCAAACGCCATTTAATTTTTTTCCGAGGTTATGTTTTTTTTTGTTCAATAAACATAACCTCAAAAATATATATCTGTCATTTGTCAAGATGATTTAGGATTATTTCTGCTAACATTGAAACTGCGAAAAACCACATGAATCGAGCACTAGATGTTGCAAGAAAGAAAATTGTCATAAAATTGCATTCTATCGGAAATATTGAAAATAAACCACGTATGAGGGCCGCCCAAAATTGCTAACTCCTCAAGATGCACGAAGCATTAGAAAAGAAGTAATCGCAAATCCTCAGACAAGCGGTCCAAAACGAGCAGAAAACCTTCAATATTAAGTTAATAAAACTGATATTGTGGAAAAAGTTACAATTTGCAAAAATGCACAAAGAAAAGGATATTTGGAAAAAAGGGTCAAGTTACGAGTCAGAATACAACATTTTTAGATATTATGGTAGAGGTAAAATTTGGATTAAAATTGGTACAGCGCTAGATTTAAAGTCTTCTACCAACAGTTAAACATGGGGGTGGATCTGTTATGAGGTGGGGCTGCTTCAGGAGTCGGGAGTTTAGTTTTTATCGATAATATAATGGTCAAAAATCCAAACAGCTTTTCGACATTTCTTCATACTCTTTGTATTATCTCTTTACAAAATCTCTTTCTGTCTTTGAGATATGAATCTTTAAAGTCAATTAATTTATTTTAGCTTTTTATGTTATATTAATGATCAATCGTTTTTGAGATATTAATTATTACAATCAATCAGTTTCTAGAAGAACACAATATTCGATAAAACTTGATGCATGAATTTGGGAATGTTTCATTCAAATGATTTGGTATAGTTAGCTGATTATGTGAATATTTGAACACAACGTTCTGCAGAAAGTGAAAATAACGATTAATTAATAACAATAACACAATAGTAATTCAATTTCTCTTATGGCAGAGCCGCAGTAATTCCCTAAGTCATACCATCTTCAGACGCCTTCAAATCTTGAAGGAAGTTTTCAAGAAAGAGTCCAAATGTGCGTGAAGGAAATATATTTTCAGAAACATATTTACACTCATCTTCTGACAATCTAATTTTGCAACAATTTCTTTTCTATTGAAACTGAAGAACAAATAATACAAAAATTGTTTTAAAGTTGGAAGATGTTACTTAATATTAAAAAGGTTCTTTTGTGAAATCCACCACTCCAAAGCAGTAGCAATGGATGTAACTTCTTTGCAGAAAATGGTTCCATTTTCGCCTCTAGCTTAACTATTAGTGGTAGTAGTGAATTTCCTAATTTCGTCCACACTTCTATAGCATCATATAGAGATGCACCTTTTTTTGCAATTTGTCAAATACCCAGAATACTGGCTTTTAGATATTTAAGTAATCTTCTGCAGATCGTTTAGGATCAATATTAGATACTTTTAGCTATATTGGTATATTATTAGGAAGCCTTTTTGTTTTCTTCACATACTTTTGACAGTTTGACTCACGCGTATTCGCAAACAATCCACCATACTGTTCCAACTCACATCGTTTAAAACTTTTCCATCAGTATATACTAGCCATATACTTAGATCTAGTGAGGTGATTGTTTCTAAAATATTTCACAATTTGAATCACATGCTCTTTGACATTAGTTACTTCAAGATCTTTGCAAATTTAGGAAGTGTAAATTTTATAAGTTATAACAGAACCACTAAAGCTTAAGCTTTTGATCTATATCTTTTCATACTTGTCATACTCGCAGCATATCCGGCACTTTACATTACGATTATATTTTGCTTAACACGATGAAATTATTCCATAACCAATTTTTGTTGAGTAATCGCTTGTATCTGGATTACCAGATGTATCTATTTTTTCATATAAGTATAGTACAAGTATAGTTCTTGTGGCACAAAATATAGGGTCATTACATTTAGACCAACCATCAACTGATATATTTACGTTACATCCAGAAAGACTTCCAAAACACTTTGTTTTTTCTCTCTTATAAATGACCCTGAATGATGTGTTCGTATTTACGCGAAAAGATCAAAACCCAGGTTAAAGAATAAAAGATACGCACGAAAACTAAATTGAGAGATATTTGAAAAAATCAAAAATTTTTTTCCACTCTGTCTGTCTTCAAGTACTTGGGATTTCATATCAATGGGAAACTAAGTTGGAAATAACAAGTCAATACAATAGTTAAGGACCTAATTAAATCCTTGGGAAACTCGAAAATATTATAAGCTTTTATATTATAATTTTGCTCAAAATATCCTGCTTCATTTTCCATACAGGGAGCTGGTCAGCCTTTTCCATTTTTGGTTTTAACTGATTAGTTTCTCGAAGTTTTTGAACTATGTATTTTAATAAACGTTTGTACATTTGGGAACAACCGGTTAGGAAATTGCACAGAATATTGTAGTCTTGCAGTATTGGCGCTGAAATCGTATATAGACCATATCAGTGTACTCATTGTTGGTATACAACATTATTAAGAGTACTACAGAATTCTGGAAAATTAATTAGTTTTTCAAATTGACGTTTATGTGTCAAATTAAAGCAACACATAAGCAACGCCTGCTTAGTATAATTCTTTATCCATCAGTATTCAAACTTGCGAATCCTTCAGTTTATTGTATTATACCTTAAGAAGGACAAATAATGAGAACATGTGTTATAAGAATTTTTTATTCAGAAAAAAAATTTTCTACTCATACCTGATACATCCTGTATATGCCTTCAGCCGAGATATTTACAGGAAGTTCATTGATATAAATACCAGAAGTAATTTTGGTGACTTCTGAATTTCGACCCTTCCATTGCACGCACTACCTTCTATTGCTTAGATAATTAGGGATCATGTGATTTGGTAACCCTCTTATACCGTAATGTTCCAGTTTACTTAATAGAGTCTTATCTTGGACACAATTGTCCAACACATAATTGAAATTCTTCTTTCTTGTGCAACGCTCGTGCCACAGCATCAATCAAGCTTGTCAGAGTTGAGGTGGTAAATTTTTTAATTAACCTGGTATCGTTGCTAGCTACCTTTGTTCGCCTCCCTTCTCGCCTTCCTGAATAGTTTCCCTTTCTCTCTTGTTGGTTTAGCTATCAATTCATTGTGTTCCTCATTTCTTCTTGTAATGTTCTCTGCATATGCATCGTCTAACCAGGTCGTCTTAATAATACTCCACTGGTCATTTATCTTTATTTCTATTTCAATCATCAATCCGTGCTGCGCTTCCAGTGTTTTCAGTTTTTCAACGTTAAGTTTTCCACTTCTGTGCCTTTTTTGCTGGACTTGGCTGCTAATTTTACACCTTAATGTTGCCTGCACCAGAAGATGTTCCGATCTACAGGAGGCTCTTCTTCTAGTTTTTACATCTATGATGCTTGAGACAAATATTTTGTTTATCATCACATGGTTATTTCAAGGATGGCGAAGTAATGGCACGCGATACAATATTTTGGGCACGTCACTGATCGCAAAATTCATTATGATGCACTACAAAAAAAGTGTGAAGTAGGTATTATATGACGAGCGAACGCAAGTGATCCCTACAATCTACATCACGAGTTTTTATTGCTAATGACGCATAGTTTGTTTGTGCATAACATAATGGTGAATATTTAATTTGAAGTTTATTTGAGTTTTATCTATGATTTTAACCGTTATTTAATATGGCTAGTTCAGCAAAAAAACAAAAAGTGCAAGATAGAAAGAGTATCAGAGAATTTCAAACTTGGTGGACAGAGTAATATGGCATGATTAGTAAAGGTGAAAATCCGTTAGTTAAAAAAGCGAACCAGAAATAAACAGTCAACATCTATGACTAAATATGTTCGCAAAAATTGTCACACGGGTGCGGCAAGTTACGCGGCTACAAATATCATTGCTCGGCATAGTAAAACTTTTCAAGAGGGAGAGTTTTTGAAAAAAGTCTGGTTAGCATGCGCGCCCTCTCTTTTTAATGATTTTGATAATAAAGATAAGATAATTCAGCACATCAAAGATACTCCTCTGTCTTGACGAAAGCACTGACGTCGCTAAATCTGCTCGTTTAGCTATTTTTGCTCAATATTACGTTGGAAACGTCATTAAGGAAGAATTAATTGCGATCAAATCGTTGCTAACAACTAACAACTGCAAAGGGCACTGATATTTGAACCGCTGTTAAAAATTCGCTTGCTGAAACAGAAATTGATTTAAAAAAAAATGTTTCCATAACAACTGATATTGCTCCAAGTATGGTGGGTAAAAAAATGGTTTCATAAGTTTCTTCAATTCCACTGCATCATTCACCAACAAGCCTTGTGTGCTAAGAGTGGTTTAACATCTCTTGATAATGTAATGGCGGTAGTCACAAAAATAATCAACCTCATCTCGTCGCAGGCTTTAAATAGGCGAAAGTTCGATGATTTGTTAGATGAAGTCAACTCGGTGTACAATGAGTCGTGGGAACGTACTTCAAAGATTTGTTGATTGCTTGGAAGAAATCAGACTGTTTCTGCAAAATGAGGGAAAAGTTGAAGAATACCCACAGTTGTTGGATGTTATGTGGCTTTCAAAATTGATATTTTTTACAGACATATGCCAACATTTAAATAAGTTAAACATGAAGCTTCTATGAAATACTCAAGCTTATTATGTACCCTGATTTGACGTTACTGGATAAACTGTATTTGTTCCAAATTGGATTGGTTGGAAATTGAAGAATTTGAAATGCAGCTGATTGATTTCCAGTGTAGTTCAATATGGATTCAAAAATTTATTGAAACAAGGAAAGAGTTATTAGAACAGAAAGATTGACAAGTAATATAAGTGAAAATGCTAATATCAAAATTCTGGAAACATGGAATGCGTTACCAAACACATCTAATTGTTTGAAGAAGCTTACTCATGCTATTTTAACAATATTTTCATCAACCTATGTCTGTGAGTCATTATTTTCAGAGATAAAAAATAATATTAAACATTCGGTTTGATAGATGACTCCAGTTCAGCATGCATTCTGCTAAAAGTAACATCTTACCCTAACATATGTTGTTTGTCATCTAATCTGCAACAACAGAAGTCACACTAATTTTACTTTAATTTAAATTACGCGTATAATTGAAACATTGCAAAATGTTCCTATTTTTTNTGCAGCTGATTGATTTCCAGTCTAGTTCAATATGGATTCAAAAATTTATTGAAACAAGGAAAGAGTTATTAGAACAGAAAGATTGACAAGTAATATAAGTGAAAATGCTAATATCAAAATTCTGGAAACATGGAATGCGTTACTAGACACATCTAATTGTTTGAAGAAGCTGACTCGTGCTATTTTAACAATATTTTCATCAACCTATGCCTGCGAGTCATTATTTTCAGAGATAAATAACATTAAAGACTCGGTTTGACAGATGACTCCAGTTCAGCATGTATTCTGCTAAAAGTAACATCTTACAACCCTAACATATGTTGTTTGTCATCTAATCTGCAACAACAGAAGTCACACTAATTTTACTTTAATTTAAATTACGCGTATAATTGAAACATTGCAAAATGTTCCTATTCTTTTGTAGTAAATAAAGAGTTTTGAGTTGATAGTATTTATTACTATTATATTCCCAATAATCACAAACTCAAAAATTTTTATGGCACGTCTATGACCAGATTAAACATTTCTTTAGAAAAACGGCACATTGATATATAAAGGTTCGTCATTCCTGATATATTTGATTCCTAGTGATACCATCAGGTGAGGTCCTTGTATATGCTCCGGTGTGGGAAGCATGTAGAGCTAATGACCATGTTCCTTCCGGTCGCAAGTGCAATCATCAACCTTCTGTTTTCGTTAGTCTCGTCGTGCAAGTTGTGCCTCTCTATGGTCCCCTAGTATTTGGCTTCTCTGCCAATCTTTGTTTCATGTCCCCAAGTATTATCTTAATGTTGTTTTTAGGGGCCACATCATATAACTGTTCTAATTGTTGGTAAAGAACAGATAGAAGAGATATTAGCTCCATATTAAAAGAAGTGAGCAAACACCCTAGAGTTAGTGCACCAAAATTAGTTGTACAAAAAGTTCTACGCGATAATGGATTTTTTAGCAAATTAAAAAATTCTAGAATTTGCTCAATCTTATTTCTGGTCCAGAGTTTTGTTTACTGACGAGTCGAAGTATATCCTTTTTGGAAATGATTTTCTTTCTTTCTTTCCTTCTTCTACCTTTTTTCTACGTTTACCTCCAGTCCAACCTTTTTGGCCTCCTTTTGCAGCTCGTTGTACGTTTCCCTGAATTGGTTTTCGTATACGCATAAGCAAGGATCATTTTGGACTTGTAGATAATTTTAATAGTGCCAGGTTGAATAATGTGGCTAAGAGGGCGTCACCTTGTCTTACCACTCTACTCTAAATGAACTTTCTGCCACAACGTCCATCCATAGAAACTCTTCCCTTAGCATTCTGTAGCGTAGATCTTTTCAATCTGACAAGTTTTTTTGGTATGTAACGCTCCATGAAAAGATATAACTTTTCCTTGAGTATGCTGTCAAAAGCCCTGCGAAAACCCACAAATAGAAGAAGAGCAGAAGAAAGTATACAATACAACAAGAGTCAGTGGAAACATCATGCTGGAGCATGATATGAACGAAGAATTCAAACTTCAAAACCCAGCTGGATGTCATCAATAGGGCACGGAACTTTTGTAACAAAATGATACGATTTCCCCCCTCCACTCGTTCTTAATTAAATTCTAAAACGATTTTCTCAATAAAAAAATATATAAACATTTTTTTGAGGTTATTTTTGATCAAATCAAAAAAAAATATTGACAAAGTTTGTTTAGAATTGTTTCAGGAACAATTTTTGTTAACACAATTTTTTTCTAACTTGAAATTTTAATTTCCCACTTAACAGTATGCTGTTCTTTTAATCAGAATGAGTGGAGGGGAGAAATCGTATCGGTTTGTTACAAAAGTTCCGTGCCCTGTAACTTAATTAACTTCATGGTAATATAATCTAAAATTTTTGGATTGTTTTGTATAAACGCCTCAATGGGAACGTGTTAATAAAAAAAATGAATGGTTAATGGATGGATTTGTTAAAAAGACTCAATCTAACATCAACTTGATCAAAAACGGTTTAAAAATTTACACCCAAACCTAAGTCTTTTTCCGTCCTTTACCTAAAAGACTTTCTTTGTACGCATTTCTTTTTATCATACTCGAGTTATTCATAGTTAATATCAAATTTCTAACACAACCATTTCGGTTAAGATTTTTTTAAAAACACACACAACACAAATCTTCCCTTTTGGGGGAAGTAATTTGTTTGAATTTTTGTTTGGAATAAAATTGTACCTCCTGAACCGGTTGTGGAGTGTCTTTTGAACCTTAGATTGAGCTCCTTAAGGTCAGTTACGTATTTCTCATAAAGCCGGCGCCTGCGCAGCCCCGGCGTCAGATCACCCGACCACGACATACATTTTGCGAGTCGTTGACCCCCTCCAGAAACCGCCACTGGAATCCTTGAAACGCCTCTATTACCATCTAATCCTGGTGAGACCTAAAATATAACGATTAAATTTGTAATAATTTAATTTAATCAAAAAGATCTTACTGAAGTTTCTCGTAAAATTTGACTCGCGTTATCTACACCACTATCTTCATCATCAACTTCCGGTTTTTTATCTTTAATAAGTGGATTTTCGGTCGCATCGAAATATTCCGATTGTTCTTCAACGCCCGGACTAAGACCATTTGCGACGGATCTTCTAAAAAGTGATTTAAAAAAATTAAATTTAATCATTATAAAAATAATTAATTTACTTTTGATCACCACCCGATGATGGATGATGTTGAACAAACGTAACCTGAGGATTCCTACTCAAATCGATCCCAGGCGAACAAGTCACTTTTCGCATCTCCTCCCCGATTAGCGCCTTAATAGGCGGATTAACAACGCACCTCCTCTCGATTTTCTTCGAGGTGGTCGTCGTCACCTCCTTCTCTTGACTCGTCGAACTGCTATTATCCGAAGCGTTAATTTTAACCCGCTCGATCGATTTCGGAATCAATTTAGCACTACTACTCCTCCTCAACGCTTCGACCGGCTCAAAATCTAAATGCGAATTCGAATCGCTTTTAACGATCGATAAGCGCCTCGGCGAATCTTGACTTTTCCTCCGTTCTAATTGCTTCTTTTTTTCGTTCGTTTCCGTTCCGGAACTTTCCGATTCATTCTTATTATTATTGCCTCCGTTATTCGAGTTAATCTTTTGAGGTTCATTTTTATTGCTGGATTCTTCGTAATCTTTATTGTAACTATCTAAGTGTTTTACGAGTTCGGGTTCGGGCGCGAAACATATATTTTCGCGTTTGGGGGATTGAGGCACCTCGTGGCTCTCTTTGCTCGCTTGTTTTAGGATGCTTCGGGTGCGTTCGAGTTTTGGGGGAATTACCGGGCCGCAAATTGGAGGTTTTTCCGGTGTTAAAGTTTGTGGTCTTTGTTTTGTTTCTTTTGAAACGACTCGGATTTCTAATTTTCCGGCTACTTCTTGTAATCCTTCTTCTTCTTCGTCGTCGTCTTCCGGTTTGATTAAGTTTGTGATTTTTTCGTTGTTTTCAATCGATTCGGGTTTAGGGGTGGTGTCTTTACAGGTTATGTTTAATTCTGGAAGGCTATTCCACTAAAAAAAATAATAAAGGGGCCGTTACATATTTTTTTATTGCCATATTCTTGAAAAAACTTTGATGACGTCACCAAAGTTTCGCAATCAATAAAAGGTGCATGAGCGAGATGAGAACGATGCACCTTTGTGTCTTTTTAATCTTACGAAAGACTTCGTAAACATCACCAAAGCTTTTATTGAGGATTTTTATATTAAAAAAATATAATATACCTATATACAGGGTGTCTCACAAACTGATTCGTAATAACTTTTTGGTAGCATGGGTTGTTTATTTAAAAACATTAAATTCGACGTTAGATTTAAATTTACTACATTTAATAACATCTACGAACCATAATGAAGATGTGAGATAACTAAGAACATCTTTATAAAAATATAGATGGCCAAAAATTATTAATTATTCCAACTTATCCACATACAACAGCAAATAATAAAGGAAGCTTATGAAAATGATTATTTTGCATTAAAAAAGACGAAGGAATTAATTAGAAGAGATTATTTAAATGATAAAATTAAGAAAGTGATTCAAAACTGCATACTATATATACCTGTGGAAAGAAAATCAGGAAAATCTGAAGGATTGTTGAATCCCATAGAGAAAACTTCTAAAAACTATAAATATTTGTTTGTCCTTATCGACGCTTTAACAAAATTTGTATGGATTAATCCGACGAAGACTACCAATACAAAAGAACTATTAGACATGGCCGAAATGTGGGATTCCCCCTTGAAAGCGCTAACGAATAAGAAGATCGAATCGTCGAGATCCTCTGAGATCCCGAAGAGCAACAATCGTATTAATATTCGTTTATTACAAATGATCCTAGAAATAAATTAAATAAAACGTGAACCCTACATTTATATTATAAATTTATATTTTTATCCAAATCTAATTTTTCCATTTAAAATTTTCGACTTTCTTGCAGTTGAATATACAGAGTGTACAAAAAGTATGGAATAATGGTTCTAAACTTCAACTTATATTAAAAAAAGTTTTAAATAAATGTAACTTGAAACTATTTTCCGCATATTTTGGCGTAGAAATAAAAGAAAAATGATGACGACGGTCTGAGTTGCGACATGGTGAGTGTGTTTTTTAAATGAAACACCCTGTATATATATATATACAGGGTTTATATATATAAATATATACATACGGTTTTAATGCTTTAAACTGCATAATTTTCAAGATATTGAAACTTTTATTTAAAAAGATTTGACATAGCGACAACCAAATTATGGAATAGACAACCTAAACCTTGACGTCACAAGGATGGGCGGAGCTTATATCAACTAAAAATATCTTCGTTGCTAACGAAAAATCCCCATATGCAATTTTTTAATTAGTGTTATATAATTATGTATAAAAACGGAAAAATTATTATTTTGAGGTTATCTCCTTAATTATTGATTAAATCAAAAAATTTCGTTAACAATGTTTGTTAAGAATTGCTTCAGGAACAGTGTTTGTTAAAACAATTTTTTTGTAACTTGAAATTTTAATTTCCCACTGAACAGTATGCTACAAAAATTAATATTTTTGAGGTTATATCCTTATTGTTGATTTAATCAAAAAATGTTGTTAACAAAATTTGTTTAGAATTACTTCAGGAACAGTGTTTGTTAATACAATTTTTTGCTAACTTGAAATATTAATTTCCCTCTGAATAGTATGCTATCAAAATTAATTATCTCGATAATTATTGTTTTTATCAAAAAATATTTTAAATAAAATTTGTTTCAATTTCGATTTTGAATCAATTATTTTAATAAAAAATTTTTACTCCGCCCACCTTTGTGACGTCAGGCTTAGGCAGTCTATTGTTATGTGTGTTACTATGGTAACGGAGACAGTTTCCGCTCGAATAGACTGCCTAAGTCTGACGTCACAGAGGTGGGCGGAGCTTATACCGCCTCCAAACAATAGACAACCTAAGCCTTGACGTCACAGAGATGGGCGGAGCTTATACCGACTCCAAACATTTTCGTTCCTAACGGTAAATCACCATATGCAATTTTTCATTAGAGTTAAAATAAAATAAACTAAGTGATGACATTTCAAATGACATTTTTTGACGATTTATCGTTAGCAACGAAATTGTTTGGAGTCGGTATAAGCTCCACCAATCCCTGTGACGTCAAGCCTTAGGTTGCCTATTTCTGTGACGTCAAGTTTCAATATCTCGAAAACTATGCAGTTTAAAGCATTAAAACCTTATGGCATTTTGTAACACCTTGTCAAAAGGAATCCAAATCCTTAAAATATACAGGATGTTCCATTTAAAAAACACACTCATCATGTCGTAACTCAGACTGCCGTCATTATTTTTATTTTATTTCTACGCCAAGATACGCGGAAAATAGTTTCAAGTAACTTTTGTTTAAAACTTTTTTTTATATAAGTTGAAGTTTACGCTGTAGAACCATTATTCTATACTTTTTGTACACAATCAATTTTTGACCACCCTGTATAAACTACTCTGATACAATAAACGACAATCTCTTTGACAGCATCTGAAGAGTAATCGTGCCAAATTAGATCTTTTTTGAATAAACGTTGGCTGAGATATGGGGTTTTAAAGAGCATGGTGAAATTTGCCAAAAAAACGTTAAAATAACTCGAAAACGAAAAACGCTAAGTGTCAATAACTTTTATGAAAGTCAACATATTTTTTACGTACAATTAAAAGGTGTAATAAAAACTATAGCATTCCATTTAAAATAACGAAGTTATGGTCTACTTCCGGTAGACCAGAAGTGGCAGCCATCTTGAAAATATTTTAGATCGAAAGTTCCGAATGAACAACTCATGCTACCAAAATTTCAAAACTGTACAAATAGTGGAACCTAAAAAAGTTGTAACAAACCAGTTACATGAGACTGTATATATATATATATACAGGGTGATTTATAACATAAGGAGCAAAAATTATGTAAATTAATTTAATATAACTTTTTGGTCAAAACCACTTCTCCTCCAAGTTACTGCCCTCTAAAATTAGGGGGCAGTAACCTGTATAGTGCATTTAATATCTTAAAATACTATCATTTACCTACAGGATTTGACTATTATCTGATGTCGTTTCAAGACAAAATCGGAAAAAATTTCGTTTTTACATCGTTTTTAAAAAGATCCTGTAATGGGCACATTTCGGAAGAACAATTGAATATCTCAGGAACTATGAACGCAGTAAAATAGTAACATATACGGTTGTTTAAACAAATTTAGTTGTATTCATAATATGACAAAATATACAGGTTGTTCGCTTTAAATAAATGTACGTACTCTCCGTTACGCTTAAATGGAACACGCTGTATAAGTGAAAATAATTTTACGTAATAGAAAATGATGAGTCAAACAATTTTTATACAGAATATTTTGTATAATATATTTATATATTTTTATATACAGGTATCCCACCTAAGTTGCCTCGGTCCATAGCCGAATTATGATTGAGTTTTTCAAAAAATGTTTCAGATAAAAGTTGAATCGAATCATATTGTACAAATTTTAAAATTAGTTGCAGTACTTTCGCTTCTACCGGAAATGTTTATCAACTTTGTTATTTTAAATGGAACACCTGTATATTATTGCATTTTTGCAGCGTCTTATAAATATGGTAATATTGCCGAAACTGTGAAGGCTAGAAAGATTTGGTTTTCTGTTTTGTATTAATAATAAAAGTTTGCTAATAAAAAATTATGCATTTATATCTATCTACAGGTGTCCGGAAATGATGTGTAGAACGCAAGACCACAAGTACCTTGACTGAATCTATATCCATATCTTTTTAACCCCCTGTACAAACACACCCATTTTTTATTCTTAGTAGTTACGGTTTAGCCACAAAAAAATATTTTCTAAATCTCCACAAGCGCGAATGAGTGACACTAATGACGTTTTTTTAATAGTTGGCTAGGTATATTTAATTTTAAAAACAAAAACAGTTTGTCACCTAAACTTGACAGCAGTATTCGTATTTTTTGTTTTGTATTTTACCTTTAATTCATCACGAATGTTTAACGCCCTCTAACGGCTAAACTAAGCAATTTTGTATATAGATAAGTTGCGTTAAATCATCATTTTTTTGTTTGTAGTCTTGCGTTGTACAAGTCATTTCGGGACACCTGTATAAAACTTAAAATGACATTTCTAGGATTATAAATGAAAAAGTAAAAATGATGGGAAGAAATGTTTCGGATAAAAAAAGATCTTAATTAACCTAAAAAATGATTGGTAAAGAGATTTTTTGATACTTGTGGTTTTGCGTTGTACACGTCATTTCGGGACATCCTGTATATTAATTACTCATTTATATATTATAAGCCTACTTCAACTTTTAAAAATCGGAAATATCTCCAAAACCGTTGATGATAGACACCATGATACCTGTATAAAACTGAAAGGAAATTAAATTTTACATCCAGTTATGCAAAAAGTGGTATATTGTTCCATTTAAAAAAATTAAGTTATCCATGATTAAAAAGTTCGAAAATTACAGATTCCTACTTAAAAACTTCGTAATATAAATGCATAATTTTTTATTAGCAAATTTGTGCTCTTATATTGTTAATCTAAAACAGAAAACCAAATCTTTCTAGCTTTCACAGTTAAATTTATAAGACGCTGCAAAAGTCATTTTTTTCGAAAAACGTCATATAATTCAAAAACGATACCAGTTAGACCTAAGGTATCATTAACAAAGCATCATTAAAATTTTACAAAGAATCTAAAAATGCAATAATATACAGGATGTTCCATTTAAAATAACGAAGTTGATATCCATTTCCGGTAGAAACGGAAGTCCACCATTAGTGAAATTAATTTTAAAATATGTACAATATGATTCGATCCAACTTTTGTTTGAAAATTTTTTTGAAAAACTCAATAATTCGGCTATTAACCAAGGCAACTTAGATGGGGCACCCTATATATAATATACAGGGTGATTCAAAAAACCTCTGACAGATTTCTAGAGTAGATAATACATGAAAAATTAAAATGAATAGTCTTAATATCGCAAATGCCTCGTTGGCAAGGATCTAAAATCTTCTATTTTTACATATTTTATCGATTTTTTGATTAATTTTAAGTACCTTTGTGAGGGGAATTTTACATCCAGTTATGCAAAAACTGGTATATTGTTCCATTAAAAAAAATTAAGTTATCCATGATTAAAAAGTTCGAAAATTACAGATTCCTACTTAAAAACTTCGTAATATAGATGCATAATTTTTTATTAGCAAATTTGTGCTCTTTTATTGTTAATCTAAAATAGAAAACCAAATCTTTCTAGCTTTCACAGTTAAATTTATAAGACGCTGCAAAAGTCATTTTTTTCGAAAAACGTCATATAATTCAAAAACGATAGCAGTTAGACCTAAGGTATCATTAACAAAGTATCATTGAAATTTTACAAAGAATCCAAAAATGCAATAATATACAGGGTGTTCCATTTAAAATAACAAAGTTGATATCCATTTCCGGTAGAAGCGGAAGTCCGCAATTAGTGAAATTAATTTTAAAATATGTACAATATGATTCGATTCAACTTTTATTTGAAAAATTTTTTGAAAAACTCAATAAATCGGCTATTAACCAAGGCAACTTAGGTGGGGCACCCTATATATAATATACAGGGTGATTCAAAAAACCTCTGACAGATTTCTAGAGTAGATAATACATGAAAAATTAAAATGAATAGTCTTAATATCGCAAATGCCTCGTTGGCAAGGATCTAAAATCTTCTATTTTTACATATTTTATCGATTTTTTGATTAATTCTATGTACCTTTGTGAGGGGATGTTGCGTTTTATCATCGTCGTAATCGTTTTGATCTTGTTTCCGGTCGTTTTTATCATCGTTGTCGCGTTCGACGCCGTTGGGGGGGATGTCTCGGCGCGCCGCCACGTTCCTCATCACGTCCACTTTAAAAACAAGGTCGTCGAACGCGGCCTGTTGTAATAAGGGCGGCTTCAGGCCTGCCCTGAGGGCCGGGCCCAAAGCCGGCGTCGACCACGACTTTGGGAGGCTACCTGCGAACCACAGCCTAGAAATTAACCTTCAAATTTCAGTCATCGTTCGCGAAATAATAAAATAAAGGAGTTATCAACTAAATTTTTTTTTTTAAAGAAATCATCTCAAAAACAAAAAAGACCTAATTACTAACCAATCAAGTCTGGGTAATCCTCAATACCGGCTATATTGATGTATTTACGATGACTCGGGCGCGAATCTTCGCTTATTTTGCTTAGAACCGGAAGGGCGGCGTTCGGATCATTTGTTGCGGTGGTTGCGGCCACTGCAGCCCTGTGCTCGGGACTTTCCGGTTTCCATTCGTTGTCCGTCGTTTCTTCGCTGTCGTCGAATTGACTTTTCCATTGACTCGCTAAAGTTAAAGCTCCCCCCCTCGTTACCTGCAACAAAATACAAATTTCGATTAAAAATAAATAAATAAATAATTAATGAAATACCTCAATCTTTAAATCAATTTTTAAAAATAGCAAGAAATTTAAAAATAGTAAGTGCTTAAACGAAGTCGAATCGAAGACTGACCAGTTCGAGCGGAACGCTAAAAATAAAGCGTTTTGGGAAAAAGAATATATTATCGGTAGAAAAGGAGATGGGGAGGGCGGAGATTTTATTTATTTGTAGTCCGAGTGTGTGTGCGTTATAACTATTCGACCTTTCCATGTTAATCTCGGATACATAAAAATATCTCTAAATTTAATGTTATTATTCCAATTCATCTTTTTTTTTTTTTAAAAATGACCCAAATAAATTTTTTCCTCAAAGTTAGTAATACGTAATTAATGAAACACAAAACCACTCAACTTTAATAGTTAAGTAACAAACAAAAACCGCCAAACCGACAATAACACAGTGTGTGCGTGTATCTTATTATCATTTGTGTGAGTGTTTGCATCGTTTACCTTTTATTTTAATCTTAATGTTTATTTTCTTATTTTCTCTTAATCCTTAGGTTCTACTCTAATTCTAAACAACTAAACACACTCTATCTCTTTGGAGGCGTTTAAAACACGTCACATTATCACTGATGACGTGCGATCGGACGTCGCCTGGAATCGCCCGAAAACAGAAAAGAAAAGAATTTGAACTAAAACTAGAACTAACACTATCACTAGACCACTATCACAGAATTTTATTAATTCTAGGTGTTGTGTTGTTGGTTCTAGTGATAGTATTAGTGTTAATTTTGGTTTTAGTTTAAGTTACATTTTTTGTATATTCTAGTTTTAGTTTAAGAAAAATATAAGAATAACAACTAAAAGTAAAACAAATACCAACACTAGAGTTAACACTAAACCTAGAAACATTCCGCCTCTTAAGACGTGTAAACCAGTACGTTTCTAGTTCTAGATTTAGTATTATTGCAGTTTTAATATTCGTGTTAATTCTAGTTTTAGTTGTTATTCAGTGCCAATGTCGTTGTATACAGGGTATTTCTAAGTCATGGTATAATTTTAATCACAAATACTAGAGTCAAAATGATAACGATTCACCCAACAACAAACTTTTACCCGTAATTTCCTATCTACTTCCTTAGCTGATATCTTCCTTATGATTAGGGATAGCGAAAAACTAAATGCACCACTTAAAAGCTTGAATCTTTCTCTATCTAAAACCGGGTTTTCGCATAAGTTGATATTAAGATCAGTAAACACACTAGTAGACTTTAAATTTAGTTACATTAGTGTAGACTTTAAAATTCTTCCATCCCGCTAATTTTGACCCAACTCAATTCCAACGGCAGTTATTCCAACAAGATGGCGCGCCACCACACCTCAAGAAGCTACTAAATCAGTTTTTGACGTTCAGGAAATTGTTTAAAATAATTGGTTACCATAGTTACTCATGGCTACTGCTATTTTTATCATTTATATAAATTTGAAGTAAACTTTGAAGTAATTTTTCTCGAAAATTTTCTTATGTAACCAATATTAGTATTGAATATACTAGATATACTAGATTGCCATTTGAAAAAAATATCGACTGCGTCATAACTCGTTAAACCGTTTAACGAGTAAAGATATTTACTCCATCAATCAGCATTACCAACCCAACTTTAAAAATATAGAAATTTTGACGTTTTCATCAATTTTCTTTTATAACTCATTAATTATATGTGATGGAAAAAAAGTTTTCGTACAAAAAAGATTTAGAATTAACCCATAAAACATATCTAATAACTTATTTTAATCCATCGATGAGTAGTACCAACCCACTCCAAGAATAAAACCAAATTTTAACGTTTTTGATCATTTTCGCTTATAACTTATTAATTTTGTTTGGTGGAGAATTATTTTTTAAACAAAAAATGTTTGGAATTGACACATAAAACGTATTGAATAAAGATATTTACTCAATCAATCAGCATTACCAACCCAACTTAAAAAATAGAAATTTGGACGTTTTCATCAATTTTCTTTTATAACTCATTAATTATATCTGATGGAAAAAAACTTTTCGTACACAAAAGATTTAGAATTATCCCATAAAGTATATCTATTTGAATCCATCGATGAGTAATACCAACCCACTCCAAGAATAAAACCAAATTTTGACGTTTTTGATCATTTTCGCTTATAACTTATTAATTTTGTGTGGTGGAGAATTATTCTTTAAACAAAAAATGTTTGGAATTGACTCATAAAACGTATTGAATAAAGATATTTACTCCATCAATTAGCATTACCAACCCAACTTAAAAAATAAAAATTTTGACGTTTTCATCAATTTTCTTTTATAACTCATTAATTATATCTGATGGAAAAAAACTTTTCGTACAAAAAAGACTTAGAATTAACCCATAAAACATGTCTAATCAGTTATTTTAATCCATCGATGGGTAGTACCAACCCACTCTAAGAATAAAAGCAAATTTTGACGTTTTTGATCATTTTCGCTTATAACTTATTAATTTTGTATGGTGGAGAATTATTTTTTAAACAAAAAATGTTTGGAATTGACTCATAAAACGTATTGAATAAAGATATTTACTCCGTCAATCAGCATTACCAACCCAACTTAACAAAATAGAAATTTTGACGTTTTCATCAATTTTCTTTTATAATTCATTAATTATATCTGATGGAAAAAAAGTTTTCGTACAAAAAAGATTTAGAATTAACCCATAAAACATGTCTAATCAGTTATTTTAATCCATCGATGAGTAGTACCAACCCACTCTAAGAATAAAACCAAATTTTGACGTTTTTGAGCATTTTCGCTTATAACTTATTAATTTTGTGTGGTGGAGAATTATTCTTTAAACAAAAAATGTTTGGAATTGACTCATAAAACGTATTGAATAAAGATATTTGCTACATCAATCAGCATTACCAACCCAACTTAAAAAATAGAAATTTTGACGTTTTCATCAATTTTCTTTTATAACTTATTAATTATATCTGATGGAAAAAACTTTTCGTACAAAAAAGATTTAGAATTAACCCATAAAGCATATCTAATCAGTTATTTGAATCCATCGATGAGTAATACCAACCTACTCCAAGAATAAAACCAAATTTTGACGTTTTTGATCATTTTCGCTTATAACTTATTAATTGTGCTTGACGGGGAATTATTTTATAAACAAAAAATGATTGGAATTGACTCATAAGACGTATTGAATAAATATATTTACTCCATCAATCAGCATTACCAACCCAACTTAAAAAAAATAGAAATTTTGACGTTTTCATCACTTTTCTTTTATAACCTATTAATTATAACTGATGGGAAAAAAGTTTTCGTACAAAAAAGATTTAGAATTAACCTTTGATTATATATAATATGGATTGAGCTAACTGAATATATCTACTAACAAAAATGTGGCTCAAGGTGAATAGACGCAGATGGAAAGCGATAATGTGAAAGTGTAACAAAGATAGACATAAAACGGTACTAAACAGACGGGCGCATGCGCACAAAAGTGTCAAACCTCTTCCATTTGACGTTTATCGTTTTGTTGTGTCACAGCCAGTCACACCGTTATGTTTAAAAATGTATTGTTTCGTGTGCAAAGTTCGCGATAATACAGTTTCACATCACCTGTAAGTATTATAAATGTTANAATCCATCGATGGGTAGTACCAACCCACTCTAAGAATAAAAGCAAATTTTGACGTTTTTGAGCATTTTCGCTTATAACTTATTAATTTTATGTGGTGGAGAATTATTTTATAAACAAAAAATGTTCGGAATTGACTCATAAAACGTATTGAATAAAGATATTTACTCCATCAATCAGCATTACCAACCCAACTTAAAACAATAGAAATTTTGACGTTTTCATCAATTTTCTTTTATAATTCATTAACTATATCTGATGGAAAAAAGTTTTCGTGCAAAAATGGTTTAGAATTAACTCATAAAACACATCTAATTGGTTATTTTAATCCATCGATGAGTAGTACCAACCCATTTCAAGAATAAAACCAAATTTTGATGTTTTTGATCATTTTCGCTTATAACTTATTAATTGTGCATAATGGAGAATTATTTTTTAAACAAAAAATGTTTGGAATTGACTCATAAAACGTATTGAATAAAGATATTTACTCCATCAATCAGCATTACCAACCCAACTTAAAAAAAATAGAAATTTTGACGTTTTCATCAATTTTCTGTTATAACTCATTAATTATATGTGATGGAAAAAAGTTTTCGTACAAAAAAGATTTAGAATTAACCCATAAAACATATCTAATAACTTATTTTAATCCATCGATGAGTAGTACCAACCTACCTCAAGAATAAAACCAAATTTTGAAGTTTTTGATCATTTTCGCTTATAACTTATTAATTGTGCTTGATGGGGAATTATTTTATAAACAAAAAATGTTTGGAATTGACTCATAAGACGTATTGAATAAAGATATTTACTCCATCAATCAGCATTACCAACCCAACTTTAAAAAAACAGAAATTTTGACGTTTTCATCAATTTTCTTTTATAACCTATTAATTATATCTGATGGAAAAAAAGTTTTCGTACAAAAAAGATTTAGAATTAACCCATAAAGCATATCTAATCAGTTAGTCGAATCCATCTATGAGTAATACCAACCCACTCCAAGAATAAAACCAAATTTTAACGTTTTTGATCATTTTTGCTTATAACTTATTAATTTTGTTTGGTGGAGAATTATTTTTTAAACAAAAAATGTTTGGAATTAACTCATAAGACGTATTGAATAAAGATATTGGCTCCATCAATCAGCATTACCAACCCAACTTAAAAAAATAGAAATTTTGACGTTTTCATCAATTTTCTTTTATAACTCATTAATTATATCTGATGGAAAAAAACTTTTCGTACAAAAAAGATTTAGAATTAACCCATAAAACATGTCTAATCAGTTATTTTAATCCATCGATGAGTAGTACCAACCCACTCTAAGAATAAAACCAAATTTTGACGTTTTTGAGCATTTTCGCTTATAACTTATTAATTTTGTGTGGTGGAGAATTATTCTTTAAACAAAAAATGTTTGGAATTGACTCATAAAACGTATTGAATAAAGATATTTACTCCATCAATCAGCATTACCAACCCAACTTAAAAAATAAAAATTTTGACGTTTTCATCAATTTTCTTTTATAACTCATTAATTATATCTGATGGAAAAAAACTTTTCGTACAAAAAAGATTTAGAATTAACCCATAAAACATGTCTAATCAGTTATTTTAATCCATCGATGAGTAGTACCAACCTACCTCAAGAATAAAACCAAATTTTGACGTTTTTGATCATTTTCGCTTATAACTTATTAATTTTGTGTGGTGGAGAATTATTTTTTTAAACAAAAAATGTTTGGAATTGACTCATAAAACGTATTGAATAAAGATATTTACTCCATCAATCAGCATTACCAACCCAACTTAAGAAAAATAGAAATTTTGACGTTTTTATCAATTTTCTTTTATAACTCATTAATTATATATGATGGAAAACAAGATTTCGTACAAAAAAGATTTAGAATTAACCCATAAAACATGTCTAATCAGTTATTTTAATCCATCGATGAGTAGTACCAACCCACTCTAAAAATAAAACCAAATTTTGAAGTTTTTGATCATTTTCGCTTATAACTTATTAATTTTATGTGGTGGAGAGTTATTCTTCAAACAAAAAATGTTTGGAATTGACTCATAAGACGTATTGAATAAAGATATTTACTCCATCAATCAGCATTACCAACCCAACTTAAGCAAAATAGAAATTTGGACGTTTTCATCAATTTTCTGTTATAACTCATTAATTATATCTGATGGAAAAAGTTTTCGTATAAAAAAGATTTAGAATTAACCCATAAAACATATCTAATAACTTATTTTAATCCATCGATGAGTAGTACCAACCTAGCTCAAGAATAAAACCAAATTTTGAAGTTTTTGATCATTTTCGCTTATAACTTATTAATTGTGCTTGATGGGGAATTATTTTATAAACAAAAAATGATTAGAATTAAGTCAGAAGACGTATTGAATAAAGATATTTACTCCATCAATCAGCATTACCAACCCAACTTAAAAAATAGAAATTTTGACGTTTTCATCAATTTTCTTTTATAACTCAATTATATCTGATGGAAAAAAACTTTTCGTACAAAAAAGATTTAGAATTAACCCATAAAACATGTCTAATCAGTTATTTTAATCCATCGATGAGTAATACCAACCTACTCCAAGAATAAAACCAAATTTTGACGTTCTTGATCATTTTCGCTTATAACTTATTAATTTTGTATGGTGGAGAATTATTTTATAAACAAAAAATGTTTGGAATTGACTCATAAAACGTATTGAATAAAGATATTTACTCCATCAATCAGCATTACCTACCCAACTTAAAAAATAGAAATTTTGACGTTTTCATCAATTTTCTTTTATAACCTATTAATTATATTTGATGGAAAAAAAGTTTTCGTACAAAAAAGATTTAGAATTAACCCATAAAGCATATCTAATCAGTTATTTGAATCCATCGATGAGTAATACCAACCACTCCAAGAATAAAACCAAATTTTGACGATTTCGATCATTTTCGCTTATAACTTATTAATTTTGTGTGGTGGAGAATTATTTATAAACAAAAAATGATTGGAATTGACTCATAAGACGTATTGAATAAAGATATTTACTCCATCAATCAGCATTACCAACCCAACTTAAAAAAATAGAAATTTGGACGTTTTCATCAATTTTCTTTTATAACCTATTACTTATATCTAATGGAAAAAAAGTTTTCGTACAAAAAAGATTTAGAATTAACCCATAAAGCATATCTAATCACTTATTTGAATCCATCGATGAGTAATACCAACCCACTCCAAGAATAAAACCAAATTTTGACGATTTCGATCATTTTCGCTTATAACTTATTAATTTTGTGTGGTGGAGAATTATTCTTTAAACAAAAAATGTTTGGAATTGACTCATAAAACGTATTGAATAAAGATATTTACTCCATCAATCAGCATTACCAACCCAACTTAAAAAATAGAAATTTTGACGTTTTCATCAATTTTCTTTTATAACTCATTAATTATATCTGATGGAAAAAAAGTTTTCGTACAAAAAAGATTTAGAATTAACCCATAAAGCATATCTAATCAGTTATTTGAATCCATCGATGAGTAATACCAACCCACACCAAGAATAAAACCAAATTTTAACGTTTTTGATCATTTTCGCTTATAACTTATTAATTTTGTATGGTGGAGAATTATTTTTTAAACAAAAAATGTTTGGAATTAACTCATAAGATGTATTGAATAAAGATATTTGCTCCATCAATCAGCATTATCAACCCAACTTAAAAAAATAGAAATTTTGACGTTTTCATCAATTTTCTTTTATAACTCATTAATTATATCTGATTGAAAAGAAGTTTTCGTACAAAAAAGATTTAGAATTAACCCATAAAACATACCTATTAAGTTATTTGAATCTATCGATGAGTAATACCAACCCACTCTAAGAATAAAACCAAATTTTGACGTTTTTGATCATTTTCGCTTATAACTTATTAATTTTATGTGGTGGAGAATTATTTTATAAACAAAAAATGTTTGGATTTGACTCATAAGACGTATTGAATAATAGTATATTAAAAAACAAGTTTCGTAAGACACGCTTGAAATGCACGAATTCAAGTTGAAAAACGAGTTTTTTAATGAATGAAAATCTCGGCCCTATTTAAGCAAAATAGTTCAAGTTAATTCTGAAAAATGGAAGCAGTCACTATCCTACAAATGCAACTTTAATCAACAAGACTAACTTTCGCAGCATAAGTCAAAATAGAAAGGACACACTTATAAACCGTCTTTGTGGAATTATTCCCATTACCAGAATGAACCTTTGAAATAATTTCCAAAAATCCAATAAAGCATGATGAATAATATATTACTAAAAATGTCGATTAACACACTATTGCTACGAATTTGTTAGGTACATGTTTTCGTTTTTAGTTACAATTACAAAATGTTGAGAATAAGAAAGAAAATGATTAATAAGTGAATCATCATTAATATTTTAGTGGCTCACTGTTAAATAAAAAACAAATTTATATTCCGATTCTATGTCAAAAAATAAATAGATTTTATAACTTCGACTTCCTGAGTAATAGTACTTAGGATGGCAAAAAGATAAAAACATTTTTCGAATTTTCTCGAAACTTCTATCTTAGCTATTTATGGGTTTAGAGCAAAAATTTTTACACAAATCGTCATCACTTTGACTCTAGTGTTTGTCATTAAAATTATGCCACGACTTACAGAAACACCTGTATATTCGAACTTGTTTCAAAACATCAAACAATTTAACAAAAGTCTTATAAGTGTTAGTTCCAGTTGTAGTTCAATTAATTCCAGCCGTGAAAACCTTCCTACTTATAAGAGACGATTTTTTTCACCCACAAAAAAAATTAAGTACCAAATCTTTAATAATGTATTAATTTTACCTGTTGGCTAACGTTCTCATCGTCGATAACCGCAAATTGAGTCAAACTTTGATCTCGAACTCCCGATCTCGAACTTCTTGCAGCTGAGGGTTGCCTCCTTCTCGGTCTCTCTTGTTCGGGAGTCGCGGGGGACTCCACCACGCTTCCTCCACCGCCCCCACTCGGCGGATGCGCGGAAGGAGCCACCCGTAATCGCCCAACAGTTGCCACACCTGATTGGCTTTTCCTCAACGGCACCGGCTTTTGATTCGCGTCCGAAGTGGAACGAGCAGACGCAGCAGTCTCATTATCTAATCGCTCGGGGGCTTGTTCTAAATGCGATGTGGCTCTTCTACGTTGTGTTGCTAAAAATTAATTAAAAAAAAATTAACTCCAACAACCAAAAAAGAATTTAATTTAATTATCACCTAATTTAATCTAACTAAATCCCCCAAAATTTTTTTTTTAATCGTTTAAATTAAAATAATTAAAATTCATAAAGGGTTTAATGTGAAAATAAAAGAATAAATTACCTCCTAAAATGATCCTAAACAACAACAACAACAAAGGAGGTTTCTTTTTTTGTTCCAAATTGTTTATCGTAAAATCAAAAGTGTCCGTTAAATTTATTTTGTAAACCCTTCGAAATCAGTATTAAAAAGTCTTCTTCGAAAATGTCTAAAAAAGAACAGAAAAAAAGAAGAAAACCCCGAATGGATTTAACCTTCGAGTGGGCGCGCTGTCATAAAGTTTATGACAATTATCTCCTTATATTTATGATTTGAAAGAATTTTTATGGAAAAAAAAGTTACAAAAGACCGAGTTAAAACGACTAAACCTGAATGTTTCCAGTTCTAGGTCTAATGATAGTTCAAGTGACAATGGTAGTTAGCATAAGAAATTATTATGTTGCATATTTTTATTGCACTAAAACTCTTTGTTAATTTTTTCTTTATTTAGGAAAAATAAGTAAAAAGTAGAAATATATTTCTGTTTCGAAGTAGTTGCAAAGTATGGTATTAGTTTTTGAGCGCCAATTAATATTTAGCTAAAAATTAATTTTTAAAAAATCGAATTTTTTTTTAAACGACTTTTAGAATCATAAAGATAATCAAAAATGCTTTAAAATGAGCCCAAACTCGATGGGATTATCTAAAAAATTAACCGAGCTACAACTTTTTTTTATCTTAAAAAAATTCAAGATGGCGGACGCCTTTGTTGGTTTTAACCTAACTTTTTTTTACTTTTTGTTCTAAATATGGAGTGTTTGGTATCAAATTAAAGGGATTTTAATATAGATTACGAATCGAATATTATCATCAATAAAAATGGAATTTTCGATTTAATAAATATTTTTAAAAAGAATTAATTCATTCAAAATCGTGAAGTAAATCAAAAATGCTGTGAAATGAGTCCAAACTCGATGGGGTTATCTAAAAAATTAACCGAGATAACAAAATTTAATAAAAAAAAATTCAAGATGGCGGATGTCATTGCTAATTTTAACCTAACTTTTTTTATTTTTCATTCTAAATATGGCGTGTTTGGTATCAAATTAAAGGGATTTTAATATAGATTACGAATCGAATATTATCATCAATAAAAATGGAATTTTCGATTATATAAATATTTTTAAAAAGTATTAATTCATTCAAAATCGTGAAGTAAATCAAAAATGCTTTGAAATGAGTCCAAACTCGATGGGGTTATCTAAAAAACTAACCGAGATAACAAATTTTAATAATAAAAAATTCAAGATGGCGGATGTCAATGCTGATTTAACCTAACTTTTTTTATTTTTTGTTCTAAATATGGCGTGTTTGGTATCAAATTAAAGGGATTTTAATATAGATTACGAATCGAATATTATCATCAATAAAAATGGAATTTTCGATTATATAAATATTTTTAAAAAGAATTAATTCATTCAAAATCGTGAAGTAAATCAAAAATGCTTTGAAATGAGTCCAAACTCGATGGGGTTATCTAAAAAACTAACCGAGATAACAAATTTTAATAATAAAAAATTCAAGATGGCGGTTATCAATGCCGATTTTAACCTAACTTTTTTTATTTTTTATTCTAAATAGGTTGTGTTTGGTATCAAATTAAAGGGATTTTAATATAGATTACGAATTGAATATTAACATAACAAAGATAACAAATTTCAATAACACAAAAATTCAAGATGGCGGTTTCATTGTTGATTTTAACCTAACTTATTTAATTTTTTATGTAAATATGTCGTGTTTGGTATCAAATTAAAGGGTTTTTAATGTAGATTACGATTCTAATGTTATCATCAATAAAAATGAATATTTCAATTTTATAAATATTTTCAAAAAGAATTAATTCATTCAAAATCGTAAAATAAATCAAGTAGGTAGCGCTAGTTATCAAGCATAAGATACTACTGTTGCATATTTGTATTGAACTAAAACTAGAACTAACACTAGACCTAAAACTAGAAACATTCGGGTTTAGCTGTGCCTGTACTTCTTTATTAGTGGCAAAGGACTAAATACTGCTTAGGGAGACTTATTAATATTTGCAGAAGATTAGATGCTGCTTGGGAAGGCTTCTTAGTGCTTGGAAAAAACTATTTCCTTCTTGCAAAAGATTATATACTACTTAGAAAGACTCCTTTTTGCTTCCAAACGCTACATACTGCTTTTAAATACTCTCTTACTACTGGCAAAAGACTAAATACTGCTTAGGAAAGCTTCTTAGTGCTTGCAGAAGATTATATATTGCTTACAAAGTCTCCTTATTACCTCTAGAGGGTTAGATAATGTTTCTAAATATTCCTTTACTACTGGAAAAGTACTAAATACTGCTTAGGAAGACTTCTTAGTGCTTGCAAAAGATTAGATACAGCTTGGGAAGGCTACTTAATGCTTGTAGAGGAGAATTTCCTGTTTGCAGAAGATTATATACTGCTTATAAAGNATTTTAATATAGATTACGAATCGAATATTATCATCAATAAAAATGGAATTTTCGATTATATAAATATTTTTAAAAAGAATTAATTCATTCAAAATCGTGAAGTAAATCAAAAATGCTTTAAAATGAGTCCAAACTCGATGGGGTTATCTAAAAAACTAACCGAGATAACAAATTTTAATAATAAAAAATTCAAGATGGCGGATGTCATTGCTGATTTTAACCAAACTTTTTTTATTTGTTGTTCTAAATATGGCGTGTTTGGTATCAAATCAAAGGGATTTTAATATAGATTACGAATTGAATATTAACATAACAAAGATAACAAATTTCAATAATACAAAAATTCAAGATGGCGGGTTCATTGTTGATTTTAACCTAACTTATTTAATTTTTTATGTAAATATGTCGTGTTTGGTATCAAATTAAAGGTTTTTAATGTAGATTACGATTCTAATATTATCATCAATAAAAATGATAAGTTCAATTTTATAAATATTTTCAAAAAGAATTAATTTATTCAAAATCGTAAAATAAATCAAGTAGGTAGCGCTAGTTAGCATAAGATACTAGTGTTGTATATTTTTATTGAACTAAAACAACAACTAACACTAGACCTAGAACTAGAAACATTCGGATTTAGCCATGCCTGTACTTCTTTATTGCTGGCAAAGGATTAAATACTGTTTAGGGAGGACTTATTAATATTTGCAGAAGATTAGATGCTGCTTGGGAAGGCTTCTTAGTGCTTGGAAAAGACTATTTCCTTCTTACAGAAGATTATATACTACTTAGAAAGACTCTTTATTGCTTCCAAACGCTACATACTGCTTTTAAATATTCTCTTACTACTGGCAAAAGACTAAATACTGCTTAGGAAAGCTTCTTAGTGCTTGCAAAATATTAAATACAGCTTGAAAAGGCTACTTAATACTTGTAGAAGACAATTTCCTGTTTGCAGAAGATTATGTACTACTTAGAAAGATTCCTTACTACATCCAAAAGCTATATAATGCTTTTAAATACTCGCTTACTGCTGGCGAAAGACTAAATACAGCTTAGGAAAACTTCTTAGTGCTTGCAGAAGATTATATGTTGCTTACAAAGACTCCTTATTACCTCTAGAGGGTTAGATACTGTTTCTAAATATTCCTTTACTACTGGAAAAGTACTAAATACTGCTTAGGAAGACTTCTTAGTGCTTGCAAAAGATTAGATACAGCTTGGGAAGGCTACTTAATGCTTGTAGAGGAGAATTTCCTGTTTGCAGAAGATTATATACTGCTTATAAAGACTCCTTACTATTTCTAGAAGGCTAAATACCGTTTCTAAATACTTCTTTACTACTAGAAAAGGACTAAATACTGCTTAGGAAGACTTGTTAATATTTACAGAAGATCAGATGCTGTTTGAGAAGGCCCCTAGTGCTTGCAAAAGACTATTTTCTGTTTACAGAAGATTATATATTGCTTATAAAGACTCCTTATTACTTCTAGAGGATTAGATACTGTTGCTAAATATTTCTTTACTACTGACAAAAGACTAAATGCTCCTTAGGAAGACTTCTTAATGTTTGCAAAAGATTAGACGCTGCTTGAGAAGGCTACTTAATGCTTGTAGAAGACAATTTCCTGTTTGCAGAAGATTATATACTACTTAGAAAGATTCCTTACTATTTCCAAAGGCTACATAGTGCTTTTAAACACTCCCTTACTGCTGGCGAAAGACTAAATACTGCTTAGGAAAGCTTCTTAGTGTTTGCAGAAGATTATATATTGCTTACAAAGACTCCTTATTACCTCTAGAGGGTTAGATACTCTTTCTAAATATTCATTTACTACTGGAAAACTACTAAATATTGCTTAGGAAGACTTCTTAGTGCTTCCAAAGATTAGATACAGCTTGGGAAGGCTACTTAATGCTTGTAGAAGAGAATTTCCTGTTTGCTGAAGATTATATACTGCTTATAAAGACTCCTTACTATTTCTAGAAGGCTAAATACCGCTTCTAAATATTTCTTTACTACTGAAAAAGGACTAAATACTGCTTAGGAAGACTTATTAATATTTGCTGATTGGGAAGGCTCTTAGTGCTTGCAAAAGACTATTTTCTGCTTGTAGCAGATTATAAACTGCATAAAAATACTCCGTATTACTTTTAGAGGGTTACATACTGTTTCTAAATATTCCTTTAATACTGGAAAAGTACTAAATATTGCTTAGGAAGACTTCTTAATGATTGCAAAAGATTAGATACTGCTTGGGAAGGCTACTTAATGCTTGTAGAAGATAATTTCCTGTTTGCAGAAGATTATATACTACTTAGAAAGATTCCTTACTACTTCCAAAGGCTACATAGTGCTTTTAAACATTCCCTTACTGCTGGCGAAAGACTAAATACCGCTTAGGAAAGCTTCTTAGTGCTTGCAGAAGATTATATATTGCTTACAAAGACTCCTTATTACCTCTAGAGTCTAGAGGGTTAGATATTGTTTCTAAATATTCCTTTGCTAGTGGAAAAGTACTAAATACTGCTTAGGAAGATTTCTTAGTGCTTGCAAAAGGTTAGCTACAGCTTGAGAAGGCTACTTAATACTTGTAGAGGAGAATTTCCTGTTTGCAGAAGATTATATACTACTTAGAAAGATTCCTTACTACTGCCAAAGGCTACATAGTACTTTTAAATACTCCCTTACTGCTGGCGAAAGACTAAATACTGCTTAGAAAAACTTCTGAGTGCTTGCAGAAGGTTATATATTGCTTACAAAGACTCCTTATTACCTCTAGAGTCTAGAGGGTTAGATACTGTTTCTAAATATTCCTTTACTACTGGAAAAGTACTAAATACTGCTTACGAAGACTTCTTAATGCTTGCAAAAGATTAGATACAGCTTGGGAAGGCTACTTAATGCTTGTAGAGGAGAATTTCCTGTTTGCAGAAGATTATATACTGCTTACAAAGACTCTTTACTATTTCTAGAAGGCTAAATACCGTTTCTAGATACTTCTTTACTACTGGAAAAGGACTAAATACTGCTTAGGAAGACTTATTAATCTTTGCTGCTTGGGAAGGCTCTTAGTACTTGCAAAAGACTATTTTCTGCTTGTAGCAGATTATAAACTGCCTAAAAATACTCCTTATTACTTCTAGAGGGTTAGATACTGTTTTTAAATATTCCTTTACTACTGGAAAAGTACTAAATACTGCTTAGGAAGACTTCTTAGTGCTTGCAAAAGATTAGATACAGCTTGGGAAGGCTACTTAATACTTGTAGAAGACAATTTCCTGTTTGCAGAAGATTATATACTACTTAGAAAGACTCCTNTTATGTAAATATGTCGTGTTTGGTATCAAATTAAAGGTTTTTAATGTAGATTACGATTCTAATATTATCATCAATAAAAATGATAAGTTCAATTTTATAAATATTTTCAAAAAGAATTAATTTATTCAAAATCGTAAAATAAATCAAGTAGGTAGCGCTAGTTAGCATAAGATACTAGTGTTGTATATTTTTATTGAACTAAAACAACAACTAACACTAGACCTAGAACTAGAAACATTCGGATTTAGCCATGCCTGTACTTCTTTATTGCTGGCAAAGGATTAAATACTGTTTAGGGAGGACTTATTAATATTTGCAGAAGATTAGATGCTGCTTGGGAAGGCTTCTTAGTGCTTGGAAAAGACTATTTCCTTCTTACAGAAGATTATATACTACTTAGAAAGACTCTTTATTGCTTCCAAACGCTACATACTGCTTTTAAATATTCTCTTACTACTGGCAAAAGACTAAATACTGCTTAGGAAAGCTTCTTAGTGCTTGCAAAATATTAAATACAGCTTGAAAAGGCTACTTAATACTTGTAGAAGACAATTTCCTGTTTGCAGAAGATTATGTACTACTTAGAAAGATTCCTTACTACATCCAAAAGCTATATAATGCTTTTAAATACTCGCTTACTGCTGGCGAAAGACTAAATACAGCTTAGGAAAACTTCTTAGTGCTTGCAGAAGATTATATGTTGCTTACAAAGACTCCTTATTACCTCTAGAGGGTTAGATACTGTTTCTAAATATTCCTTTACTACTGGAAAAGTACTAAATACTGATTAGGAAGACTTCTTAGTGCTTGCAAAAGATTAGATACAGCTTGAAAAGGCTACTTAATGCTTGTAGAAGACAATTTCCTGTTTGCAGAAGATTATATACTGCTTAGAAAGATTCCTTACTACTTCCAAAGGATACATAGTGCTTTTAAATACTCCCTTACTGCTGGCGAAAGACTAAATACTGCTTAGGAAAGCTTCTTAGTGCTTGCAGAAGATTATATATTGCTTACAAAGACTTCTTATTATGTCTAGAGGGTTAGATACTGTTTCTAAATATTCCTTTACTACTGGAAAAGTACTAAATACTGCTTAGGAAGACTTCTTAGCGCTTGCAAAAGATTAGATACAGCTTGGGAACGCTACTTAATGCTTGTAGGAGACAATTTCCTGTTTGCAGAAGATTATATACTACTTAGAAAGATTCCTTACTACTTCCAAAGGCTACACGGTGCTTTTAAATACTCCCTTACTGCTGGCGAAAGACTAAATACTGCTTAGGAAAACTTTTTAGTGCTTGCAGAAGATTATATATTGCTTACAAAGACTCCTTATTACCTCTAGAGGGTTAGATACTGTTTCTAAATATTCCTTTACCACTGGAAAAGTACTAAATACTGCTTATAAAGACTTCTTAGTGCTTGCAAAAGATTAGATACTGCTTGGGAAGGCTACTTAATGCTTGTAGAGGAGAATTTCCTGTTTGCAGAAGATTATATACTACTTACAAAGACCACTTACTATTTCTAGAAGGCTAGATACAGTTTCTAAATACTTCTTTACTACTGGAAAAGGGCTAAATACTGCTTAGGAAGACTGATTAATATTTGCTGCTTGGGAAGGCTCTTAGTGCTTGCAAAAGACTATTTTCTGCTTGTAGCAGATTATAAACTGCCTAAAAATACTTCGTATTACTTTTAGAGGATTAGATACTGTTTCTAAATATTCTTTTAATACTGGAAAAGTACTAAATATTGCTTAGGAAGACTTCCTAGTGCTTGCAAAAGATTAGATACTGCATGGGAAGGCTACTTAATGCTTGTAGAAGACAATATCCTGTTTGCAGAAGATTATATATTGTTTAGAAAGATTCCTTATTACTTCTAAAGGGTTAGATATTGTTTCTAAATATTCCTTTACTACTGACAAAAGACTAAATATTCCTTAGGAAGACTTTTTAATGCTTGCAAAACATTAGACGCTGCTTGAGAAGGCTACTTAATACTTGTAGAAGACAATTTCCTGTTTGCAGAAGATTATATACTACTTAGAAAGATTCCTTACTACATCCAAAGGCTACATAGTGCTTTTAAATACTCTCTTACTGCTGGCGAAAGACTAAATAATGCTTAGGAAAGCTTCTTAGTGCTTGCACAAGATTATATATTGCTTACAAAGACTCCTTATTACCTCTAGAGGGTTAGATACTGTTTCTAAATATTCCTTTACTACTGGAAAAGTACTAACTACTGCTTAGGAAGACTTCTTAGTGCTTGCAAAAGATTAGATATAGCTTGAGGAGGTTACTTAATGCTTGTAGAAGACAATTTCCTGTTTGCAGAAGATTATATATTGCTTAGAAAGACTCTTTATTACTTCTAAAGGGTTAGATACTGTTTCTAAATATTCCTTTACTACTGGAAAAGTACTAAATACTGCTTAGGAACAGTTCTTAGTGCTTGCAAAAGATTAGATATAGCTTGAGGAGGCTACTTAATGCTTGTAGAAGACAATTTCCTGTTTGCAGAAGATTATATATTGCTTAGAAAGACTCCTTATTACTTCTAAAGGGTTAGATACTGTTTCTAAATATTCTTTTACTACTGGAAAAGTACTAAATACTGTTTAGGAAGACTTTTTAGTGCTTGCAAAAGATTAGATACTACTTGGGAAGGCTACTTATTGCTTGTACAAGACAATTTCCTGTTTGCAGAAAATTATATATTGCTTACAAAGACTCCTTATTACTTCTTAAGAGTTAGATACTGTTTCTAAATATTCCTTTACTACTGTCAAAAGACTAAATATTTCTTAGGAAGACTTCTTAATGCTTGCAAAAGACTGTTTCTTGCTTGCAGAAAATTATATACTACTTAAAAATATTCCTTAATACTTCCAAAGGCTACATACTGCTGGCAAAAGACTAAATACTGCTTAGGGTAGCTTCTTAGTGCTTGCAAAAGATTATATAGTGCTTGGAAAGACTTCATTAGTATTTGCAGAAGATTAGATACTGCTTAAGAAGACTCCTTATTGCTTGCAGATAACAAGACGCTGCTTGGAAAGATTACTTAATACTTTTATATGAAAGTCGCATGGCTAAACCTGAATCTTTCTAGGTCTAGTGTCTATCCTTGTGGGATATTTTTATTGAACGAAAAGTAGAACTAACACTAGACCCAGAATTAGAAACATTCAAGATTGTTTTTCCAAGCATAGCTTTTCCTTACAATAATTGTTTAATATAAATTAAATATTTTTAACTGTTTTATTAAAAATAACGTAATACTTATTAATACGGCCCTGATGTCATAAAATTTATGACACGCGCCCGCTTGTGTTATAAAATCGGCTCGAAGGTTAAATTGACTTTTGATTGATGATGAATTAATCGAAATTCAAATAATATAATCAATTAAATCACTAATTAATTAATAAATTAATTTATTTTAAGATAACTTACTCGTTTGGGTTTGTTCTCCTTGAGTTGCATTACAATTCTTATCAACAGTAGCTCTTGGACCATTCGTTTGTGTTTCTGTAGCTAATGGAGCGGTTATTTCCATTTCTAATCGTTTCCTTCTCGCTTCTAACTGAGCCTATATCCAAAAAAAAAAAAAAACATTTAAAACCACACAATTTTTTAAAAATTAATTTACCTCTTTATTATCCATTGGTTCAATATTTTCTTGATTATTATCTGTGGGTGTTTGCTTGGTATGTCTTGGTAGAGCGTTTTGAACGATCGCTAATTGAGGTTGAGTCGTTTGTGAAGTAATTGTAGTGACATTATCACCAGCTGGCGCCTTCTCCCAATCGTAAGGGTCGGATTCTTTCACTCCCCGACGTTTCATACATCGTTCAAATAACGAAATTAACATCTAAAATTAAAAAAAAAAATAATAATAATTTTATTTAAGAATAAAATTAATTTTACTTGATAATCCGGTTTATCAGCATACTCCAAACTTTGAATATGATCCAAAAACTGTTTTAAATCGGACGGTAGATGCTTTAAAAGTAATCGGTGGTCGTATTTTTCTTTCATCAAACCGACTTGTTCTTTATCTTTGACTTTGCGCCACGGGAGTTGGCCGTTTACGAATTCGACGAGCATGTAGAAGAGGCTCCAGAGGTCGTCGTGGCGGCCCATCTCTTTGTTTCGGTGGGCGTTGATGCTGGCGTATCTGACGGTGCCGCGGAAACCGGCTGCTGCTCTTGGGGCTCTAACTTCGCCGGTTCCGGTGGTGTATTGGCGAGCTAAGCCGAAGTCTAACATGAAAACTCGACGGCAGTTGTATGGAAGTCGTCCCATTGAAAAATTGCTCTAAAACAGAAAAGAAAAAGAAAAGAATAGAATAGAATTAAAATTTTTAAGCATTTTTTTAAAAAATATCTACATCTAGATCATATTCAGTAAATTTATAACAACTTTCTTAGGGATTTAAGGGTTTTTATAAAGACTTGCCAAAAAATGTACAGGCATTGTCAAGGATATACCGTATTTTCTCGAATCTAATCCGCACCCCGACTTTAAAAATGCATAGTGGTAAAAAAATTTAGTTTGCGAATGTAATCCGCATCTTTCTTTGAGCAATTCGACAACACCAAAACGATGCGATGCTTGTT